GTTCCCCCTAGCACTGTACTGTTATGTTCCCCCTAACACTGTACTGTTATGTTCCCCCTAGCACTGTACTGTTAGGTTTCCCCTAGCACTGTACTGTTATGTTCCCCCTACCACTGTACTGTTATGTTCCTCCTAGCATTGTACTGTTATGTTCCTCCTAGCACTGTACTGTTATGTTCCTCCTAGCATTGTACTCTTATGTTCCCCCTTGCACTGTACTGTTATGTTCCTCCTAGCACTTGTGATTGCTGCATCAACCAATCTATTATTATTAAGTGGGAATATTATCCTTAGATCCTTGAATCAAAATCCCTCTCAGGAGCGTCAAGGCTCCCCCGTCCTCTCTCTTTGAAGAGGAACTCCCTCTCAATGCACCTTCATTAGGCCACAAGCGGCGTTATCAGACTTCATGGCATTCACGAATTTTGCATTTTATGTGTTATTCCCCTTTCGTGTCCAGTGATTTACACTGAGAAAAGTGTCGGCCGTGTATGGATTCGTGAGGAACACCGTTCGTTAATTCCAGCTTCTGGTTCAACCTGAGAGGCAGAGAGGAAAAAAAGGAAATCATAAAAGCTTGCAGGACTATAGAAAGGGAGGATAGATGAAAACAGACAAGTGAGCAACAGTCTACCTAGTTGGGTTATTGAGGCTGGGACTTTGGGTAGTTTAAAATTTAGGTTGGATAAGTACATGAGTGGGAGGGGTTGGATTTGAGTGGGACTTTCACATCAGAGCTTATTTCTTGGGTGGCATTGAAAATTGGGTTGGGCAAATGTTTTGTTAGTGGGATGAATTGTAAAGGACGTGTCTAGTATGGGCCAACAGGCCTCCTGCAGTGTTCCTCCTTTCTTATGTTCTTACGTTCTTATATTGAAGATAATCAGAATGAGAGAGATGGAGGAGTAATTAGTGCACTTCGAAGCGGCTTCATAAATCTTAACCAGCAATGCTCAAAAGATGACAAATCTTGTCTTGATAAATTAAACACATATGTAACATCTGAGTATCTTTAGACTTGTATCTAATTTACTATCTTGTAGGTATTGTATACCACTGATATGCAAATATTCTCTTACCAGTCTGTGGGAGTTCTATGACAGATGTGAGATTTTAGAGAGATGGATGGGTGTATTGCATTTTCTTAGACTGCAGGAAGGCATTTGATACTGTGCCCCACAAGAGCCTGTGGCACAAACCTGAGGTGCAGGCAGAAGTAACAGGAACGTCAGGAAGTATTTCTTCAGCTTCTGAGTAGTCAGGATCTGGAATGACGTGGTCAAAGTGATGGAAGCAGAATACCATCTATACACAGCTATAACAGCAGGGTCGAAGTGCACCAAGAGGCTGGGAGGGAATCAAGTGACAAGCGGCAAGTTGAGAGGTGGGGCCAGAAGCTGAAACTCAACTTCTGCAACCATATATAGGTACACACAACACACACACACACACACACACACACACACACACTGTTTCTGGCTGGTGAGGCAGTGAGGCAGTTGCCTCGACATTGTCTCCTATACCACGCACCTTTATTTTGGTCAACAATATTCTGTGTGGAACCTAGTCAATGATCCAAGA